TCCAGTTTCACTTAGGTGAGTTATTCCTCTTCTCCGGCTTAGATGTACTTCCTCGTTGCCTTGCATGCTTCTCGATCCTTGCTATCAGACCCCCCCATTGATTTTGGGAGGGTCTTCACCAAGGATTGCTGAAGTAGGCAATCGTCTTACAAGTCGTTCTTAAATGAAACAACGGCAAGCTCCCTGGAATTCGGTTGTAAATCTCATAATATCTATTCGCGTAGGCCCTCAAGCTTTTACCATCGTCTATCTTCAAAGCCAATAATGAATCAACCCTCAATGGTTGTATGCTATTGGTAACAAACCGGACCATAAACATCTCGAGCAAGCCGTCCTAATTTTTGACTAAATCCTTAGGCAATTTTAGGAACCAATCCGATGATATGTCCCCCAAAGTCGATGGGAACACTTTACATAACAGTAGGTTGTTTTCGTTCTACAAAGACATAGCATTGAGATAGGAGCCAATATGAATATCGGGATCAGACTTACCATCATATGTATGAAACCTCGGCATTGTGAACCTCTTCAGTGCTTAGAAAGTGGCTAACTCCACAAAAAACAGTGACTTTGGTTGGGTGGCGGACGTGACCTCGTTTTTATTTTTTTTTCTTTAGAGGTAGTTGTGCAAGTCTTCCGTCAACTGCCCTGCTGCTCTATTGTTGATCAACTTCAATCTCTTTAGCGTGCTACTCCTTGTGCTAGGATTTGTTCTCTTAGACCTATTGAGATCCAACTTTTTTTTCCACACAATGCTCCTGCCCATTCACCTGACACGATCCTCTAATTTATGACACTCCCTCTCTCTAAGGCTCCACTCTCCCAATGTGTTAAGATCGTCATGGTGAGTTCATGGTCTTTCTCTCTTTGTGTTGTGCTGTAGTCTGTCCTTCTTGTTGGGCGCCTGTATTAACAGTAACCAACGATGTCGTTGGCAACACCAAATGTAGGGTGCATTATCTAGCTCTACGTCATGAAATTTATCATGGTTTGTAAGTCCGTCACCTTGGCTAGCAATTCTTTCACTTCACTATCTTGTCATATACATCGGTCTTTCCAGGTTTGGAAATCACTCTCGTTGTCATACTCTTCTGGGGCCTGGTCCTGCCTCCCCTCGTTGCCCCTCCTCGAGCCATTCTCCGCCCTAGGATTGTAGCCCTTGGTGGCATTGTTCGTTTCTAGGTTCTCTTCTTTTACTTCCTTGCAATCATTCTCTTCTCCTTCAACAAGACTTACCTGTTCATCTTCCTCACTGTGCATATCGTCTCTGTCTCGTACTCCCTACTCGATGTTGGCCATCTATTCTTACTAAGTTCCCACGGACGGTGTCAAATTATGGGTGTTGATTTTTGACCTCACAACCAAATCGAATCTCCTCGCCAAGATCCTAGGAACTTAGTCGTAGAGCACACAGAAGAATAGAGAAGTCCAACACCTGCACACAAGAAGACAACAAACACCGATGACTCATCCATCTAGGGGCACTCCGACGATCAAGTCAGTCAACTTATTTTTCAAAGATAACCTCAATCACAGTACTCACAAAATAAAACGTACCTTAGACCAATGGGGTGCCTTACTTTTATAGTTAACAATGCCCTCGTCTCTTAGGAGTCTCACTTCACAAGACTATCCTTTACAAGGATAATATCTATCTTGTACTCCTTTTATTCAGATTAGAATGAAATCCTCTTAGAGCCCATCTCTATCCAAATAGAGAGCTTAAAACCATCTAGGACTCATGTCCTTTATCTAAATATCTCAGATTCCGATATGATCGTTTCATATCTCAACAGTCTGATCCATTCACGTAGCACCTCGGCCAACATTCTCAGCCCCGTGGACAACCCTAAAAATATGTCCCCACACCATCATAACCAAAAGTTGGGACAAGACAGTTGGTCAACTTCACACCACAAACGGTATTACACAATCACTAGGCCAAATGTTTGGTTTATTGTAATCTAACTTACTAACCCACTAATATTATGTTGTTTGCCCAAAATATATATATATATATATATATATTTGAGAACCCTAAAAGTTTCCACAATTGTATCCATAATGATGTGGTATAATATGTGTCAATTTTTGATTAATTACACACCCAATGATACAAGGTACAACTTTTCTGTCACATTATTATGGGTGAAATTGTAAGTCTAAAAATATAGGCCTTTAACCTTGCTGAAAAAGAAATTTCCAATTACTTTTTTTTTTTTCCTTTTTGTTTTTCCAAAACCTGTGTGGTTTGAATTGTTAGTGGTTTCATCAAATTTGGTAATTATATTCGTTACGGTTATGAGGATGCTTTACTGTAATTGTCAAAGCAAAAAGGTGTTAAATAATAATTAACTGTGAATCGAATGATGATTAATTTAGAACTTTCTGTTATGAATTATAGATTAAATTTGTTTTGTTTTGTTTTTGACATGAGAATGACCATCTTTTAATAATTGCAAAAGTAAAAGAAGCGTAAAGAATCCAAAAAATCTAAAAGAAACTGAAGTTAATGTGAGACATAAATCTACAAATTGTCTCTAAGATGCCTAAAGTGAAAAAACTAAAACACACAAATGACTCTTTTGTCATTAGCATTCAACATGTCCACAAAATCCAGTGCTGACTTTTATTGTAATCTTATTACTTCAAACATTGTTTATGTGTGAATCTTCTACTTTTTATTATTATTATTTTAAAATTTTGTCATGAGTCGGTAATAAAGTTTTTATTTTAACATTTTTTGGTACGTTTTTATAAAAGTTTGTGTTGTAAATAATATACAATTATTTTATGTTTATTGTTAATCAATTTCCTTAGGGAAGTGGTTATAATATTTTTTATTTTTATTTTTCTAAAGATTTTTTGTTTTCTTTTTTCTCTACAAATTCAAAATATAAAATAAGAGGATCAAATAAAATCATATTATTTTGTATAAATTTTTTACATAAAAATTTTGTTTGTATAGTATTACCCTTTCAACCTCTGTAGTTTTAACATTTATAATCGCTCAGTTTAATATTTATAAATTTTGTTTGGTTCAATATAGTTAACACTGATAGCCAATTTGTTTGATTTTGTTTCCAAAATTCATTTTATGTTTTTTTTGTTCAAAAACTATAAATTATTTTGACAAAAATAAATATAAAAGGATTATTTAAAAATTTCAGAAAAATAATTTTTCTACAAAAGATTTTTTTTTAATTTTTTTGAAAGGGAAAAAAACACAGTTTATTTATTTGTTTATTTATTTATTATTATTATTATTTATTTATTTTTGGAACTTACAAAGTTTGAAACTAACCAAATATGGTGAATAAGTTTTCACAAATACTAAAATGAGAGTGAAAATCCTATAAGTGTGACCATCCTATATGATAATTTTTTGGAAAAATTAGAGAGAGATCCTCCACTATGTTTGTAAAAGAGTTTAAGGATAACAAAAATTAATTTGATAGTTAAGGTCCCTAAAATTTAAAATGATAAGGACAAACTTTGATAGACATAGACCAATATGCCCTTTTAATTTTAGAAACCCTAATTTTTCATGAGACGTCTCTCTCTCTCTCTCTAGTACCACTTCTACCATATATCTGACATCGTCACTACATCTATCGATGTTCATTTACCTGAATTCGTTCTCTCTCTCTCTCTCTCTCTCTCTCTCGCAACCACATCAACCAACGTTTTTTCATCTACCATCGTTGCCTAACTACTGTCGTTTACCACCTTCTCTTCAATCTATATATAGGTCTAACATGTTTTTCTTTCTCTCGGTCGATTTATTTCATTATCCCCGATCTGTACAAAAATCTGATGTAAGAGTTTTAAATCTCTTTTCTCTTATCTTCTCTCTCTCTCTCTCTCTCTCTCTCTCTCTCTTTTCCAGTGATTTTCTCTATCTCTCTATGTTGAAATACGAAACTTCTCTGTCTATGTGTTTTTCTCTGTGTTGAAATATATAATTTTCTCTGTCATTATATTTTTCTTTGTCTCTATGTTGAAATATAGAAAAAATTATCTGTGTTAACATAGATTAAACGTTGTTATTGGATTGAAATTTTCTTTAAACTAAGATATTTTTCATATTAGAAATTGGTATTGTGCTATTGATTTCATTAAATTTTGTTTTTTGGTACTTTTTTTATGATATATTTTTTCTCCTAATTAAAAATTTTATTTCATTTAAAAGAGAAATTTCTCTTGTGAATTTTGTAGTGAAATTTCACTGACTTAACACAACAAATTTTCACAGAGTCAAAGAAATTTCACTATGCCAAAGAGTTGCCAAAATGTTATCACCAGCGTCGGCGGTTAGTGGTGGTCGAAGGCAACAATAGTGGTAATAGGTAGTTAAGAAATAAAATAACACTAGGGATAGTTTTATCTAAAAGAGCAAATTATACTCGTGAATCAGTGATTCCTATATTTTACTCCATGTGTTATTTTAGTTCTTACACTTTAAATTGGCTCAACTTTGACTCTCAAATTTAGATTTTATTTTAATTTGGTCCGATTAATAATATCATTAGTGTCTTTTAAAAAAATCATCACTAAATTGGTTGAGGTTAACTAACTGAATTAAGTAAGTTTATAATATTATCCTTAAAACTATGACACGTGACACTTATGTGCGTTTTTCTATAAAAAAATATATTTTAAAAATTGTAATCAATTGGACCAAATTAAAACAAAATCGTAAATTCATGGTCAAAATCAAATTAATTGAAAGTACAAGAACTAAAATAACACAAGAGATAAACTATAACGATTACCGTCCTAATTTGCCCTATCTAAAAATAAGCTAATGTACTCAAATTGCCATGGTCACTGCCAGGTTGCGTTAATGATCTCATTCATATCCCAGAAGTGGCATGCCCAACGGGAGTGAAGGCTTTAATCATATCACTATTTGGGGAGGAGAAAGTGTGTGTGTGTGTGTGTGTGTGTGTATATATAGGTTGTAGCGTTGGATTAAAGTAAAAGGCTTCTAGAAGATGAATTACAAACTGAAATTAGATTCACGTAACAACCTCTAAAGCAAGCCTGTCATGTACCCTAATCCCACCCTATATATGTGGCTTCTCCATACTCACACATATATGCATACACACGCACCCATCTCTTGAAGATCTCATTCATATCCCCCCTCCTCATTCCTAGTTTAACAGTGTTTTTTTTTTTTTTTTCCCACATAATTCAGAATTGACACAAACACACATTTATATACATATATTTAATCTTGGAGAAGAAGAATGAAGGAAGAAGAGAGGGGGACAGTGAATGGAGAAGGAGGCGAAACCGGGAAGCTGGGAGATCAAAGGGTTGCATTTTACAGGCTATTTTCGTTTGCAGACAGGTTCGATATTGCTTTGATGATCGTCGGCACGGTCTCTGCTATAGCGAATGGGATGGCTCAGCCTGTCATGACCTTGATTTTCGGCACACTCATCAACTCTTTCAGTAGCTCAGATCCTTCACATGTTGTCCATGAAGTTTCAAAGGTACTCTTTTTTTCTTTTTTGTTTTTTTAATTTTCTTGATTTTCTTTTTCTTTCTTTTATTTATTTATTTATTTTTTTTTTCTTGTGTGTGAGAGAGAGAGACATTGATTGACCTAGTCATTACGTTTTATTTCCAATCATGATAATAATTTCAATACTTTGCCTTTAAAGATTTCATTCACCAAATAATGATGAGATGAGAGATACCCAGAAAAAAAAAAATCTTTGATCTCAAGTTAATTTGAAGAATTACGTAAAGTGAATGGACTTATCTTTTTCCTAATTCAAAACGAAACTAAATACTAATTTTTAGTAAATTTTGATCATTTAATTGAATGGTGACATACAGCTACTGTTGTTTAGGTTTCACAGATGCTTAAATCGTTGAATATTACATGATTTTTTATTTTTTATTTTTTAACCAAACCTAAGCCTTTTTTTAAACATATTTTTTCAAACTCAAATAATTTTGAACTTATTTTATAAACCCATGTTATTTTTGTAAAAACTAACACCTACATCAATTAATTTAACTATAAAGCTCTTTAAATTCGTGTTTTGAGTATTTTGAAAACACAATTTGTAGTGATTTTATGGAACAATTTGAGTTTAGTAAATAAGTAGAAAACAATTTGAAATTTGAAAATTAATTTTAGGCATAACCTAAAGTTGATTTGATTTTGTTTATTTATTTATTTTTATTTTTTTAAAGAAAGTTGGGTCTCAGAATTTGTTTTATGTGTTAGTTGTTGAATCAAAAATTGGAAATATGTGTGAAGGCGCAAGGCTACTAATAATGGGTGTTTCTCTTTACTTGTAAGCTTTGGTAGAGGAGTCTCTTTCTTTGTGAGAAAAGAATGTATTTTTTTTTTAAAATACTAGAGATATTAAAAATTTTATTAAAATTTTTAGTAAATATCTCACATGCTAGATATCTCCCAAAAAAATTAATCCACACTATATTTTTTTGAGATTTTTAACATTTTTTTTTAATGTGGGAAAGAGGTTATTCCACCTATATTTTGGTGGGCGACACGACAATGGGCATTTGGAATGTCAGGCGTGCTACCACACTTGCTATACTATTTGGTCAAGCATTACTTTTAGCATAGCATTGTTCATCATCCTAGCTCAAACTTGAACCCACTGGAGGACCTAGAATCATGCCATGAATTCACTTTATCATATTCTTTTTCTAGAATTTTTTTTTTTTTTTGATAAATATTAAACAAATTACAACAAACTGAACAATTAATTATGAACCAACTAGACCTAATCTAATTAGTCACCATAACTTTCTTAAGGGTTTAGTCCACAGGAGAAAGATCATGAATTTAACTCTACTTGGACAAGCACTTTGATTTTAGCCGATAAAAAAAATAATTAATTATGTTAAAAAATCTAATAATATACATCCGCAAACTGAACAACAACCATCACTACACCAATACAAAGAGTCTCATAATGAGAGACAAATAACTTCTGAATAATTCATGACTTCTCAATTAAAAGTGTATAATAGTGACTAATTGAGTTAGTTCAATTAATTCTTAAAAAAAAAATGAAAAAAAAAATTATAGCTTAGTAGTAAAAATCTTGTTAATGATACCACCAAAATATTCGTTAATACAAATAGTGTATATTTTCTCATAAAATTGACTAGTTGAGGAATGTACAAAAATCTATAGCGGGGCACTTTGATTTTTGTTCCAAAAATATAATTTTGAATCCTGCATTCATTTGATGAGTTAAGGGGAGAGCTACTCTACCTTAACTTTTTCTTCTATTTTTAACATATATATATATATATATATATCTTGAGAAAAGTTACATGGACCAAGGCAAATTTGAAGACTGTCAGAATGATTGATAACTTAATATTGTAACAAAGGTCATTAGTTCAAATCTTGTCATCTCTGTTATCTTTGTCATTTTATACTTTGTTCTGTGTCTATCTTGAAACACCTTCATTGAGTTTATTTTCTAACAATTTACTTTCTGTAAATCTAGTTTTTCAAGTAGAGTTAAAACTTAAAACCTCCTAATTAATTTTGAGTCATAATACAAATAGAAAAATCGTATAGAAAATTCATACAAAATAAAGGGATAGATATGTATCTATTCATTTCAAACCAAAAAATCTATTAAAATCACTTACAATTTTTAAAATATCACTACAACATCATTTTTGTAAGATTTTTATAAATAAATTTGATGACAAATCATTTCCCATTAATTTTAGTTGCAATAACTTTAATAGCATTATATGGATGTGAATTCAGGTATCCCTGAGGTTTTTGTACTTGGCCATCGCTTCGGGTATTGCTTCATTCCTACGTAAGTGCTGCTATCATCATTTCTATCTAGATTTATTGCCATCTCTTTTGTTTTAATAGCTTACTTTATGACTGCTTTAATCTTTGTTGAACATTTTCTTTTGACCAAGCATGCATAAAAATATTTTATTGTCTATGTTATCTCTCATTGTTGGTACAATGGCCATTACACTCTAGTAGGTCTCAAAATACAAACACTAAATACAAAATTGAACACCCAAAAAAGCCATAATTATACAAGACTTGTCAGTAAGGCTTATTTTTAGAAAATCATGTTCATCAATACATTTTGTATCTGATATTATGTTTAGTTAATGAGTTTTACGATTTATTGATAGCACTACAATTCTATGATTAATTAAGAATATAATTTTGATTGCTTAACATAGTCTAATAAAGCAATTATTAGCTTTCATCTATGACAATCACATGGTCATTTCATAAATAAATCTAAATTGTCTGTTTATGTTTGATTCATGTGAAACGCATGTAACTCTATAGTAGTCAATCAAAATCAATATAAATAAATCCGAAATCACATTCAAATTCAATATAGCACCCATTGTAGGTACAAAAAGAAATGTATTGAATCAATTATGATCCAGTATTATGCGATATGGGATAATTTTTGAGTCATGTATATAGGTTTTGGAAGTGTCTGCGCTGCACGGGGGGATTTTTTTTTGTTGGGATTTGTTGTGCTTTTAATGGTCTTTTGGATAACATTCAGTATGTTTGGTTTTAATTTTTTAAATTTACTTTTTTTATTTTTCCTTTTTTTTTGTTTTTAATAAATATTTTTAAGATTTTAAGTAATTTTTTTATATTTTTTTAGATACATCTTACTTAGATATATCTAAAAAGTAAAATATTTGTTAAAAAAATCAATAAATATATAAAAATACGAAAAATGTACTGAATTCTTATATATATATATACATATTTGTAATTTTTATATTTAGTGAATTTTCTAAAGACCTTCACAAATATTATACTTTTTAAGTATATTTATGTTAGGTGTATCTAAAAATTAAAAAAAAAAAATTATTTAGAATATTAAAAAAATCAATTAAAATAAAAAGATATATAAAAAAATAAAAAAAATTAATTTTTTAAAAAATGATTCTTAAAAATTAAAACCAAATCTGCATGTGTGTTTTTTCTTGAGTCTTAGCAGATGTGACAGTTTGTGGATGGGTGCCCCCAACCTATCTCTCTCTCTCCCTTCTCTTGTAATGTTTTGATTAAAAAAAATATATATATTTAAACTTTGAGTACACAGATTGCCACAAAATCAGGAGGATAAAGAGTTGGCCAAATCCATAACACCATGTAGACGTGGGTTTGACCAATACTGTTGCTTGACTTCTGTACTATAATTCTTATACTTTGAGTATGTAAACACGTAACTTAAAGTTGGGTGATCACACAATTAATGTGGTGTCTTAAAAAGACTAAATAATAATGCCTCACCGAAACCCAAGAAAAACATGACTATTTGAGAATTATCAATAGATGTGATAAAAATAATTTTCAATGTGCTATAGAGTGACAAAAATATTACTTAATTTTGTACGTTAAAGATTTGTTAATTCAGTAAATATATAAATATTATAATAAAAATGTTAAAATGTGTTAAAGTAGTGATAGATTAATGTAGAGGTAAGAATATATAAATGTGTATATAGGGAGTGAATAAAATAATTTAAATTGGTTTTTGGGTTATTTTCTTGTTGAAAAGTCAATATTTTAATCACATGGATTCACAAATGTTAGCAGTTGTGTTAACAACATTAGCACATTAGATAAAAAAAAGCACTTTCCTACTACTGTTTTAGCACATCAAATGAAAAAAGCACTTTCCTACTACTTTTTTAGCACATCAGATAGAAAAAGCACTTTCCTACTACTTTATAGTATAGCAACTGTGTTAACACTAGCAGTGTGAAAGCTCAAAGGTGTTTTAGATCTAGGTAAAATGTTAATGGAAGAGTCATATTATTCTCATTTGAATCTACAATTCATTAATATATATATATATAATAAATAATAAATTTATTTCTACAATTCATAAGCTACATGTTAACTTTTCAACAATATAAAAAGACAAGTAAAAACGGCACGTAAACAATACTAAAGATATTTTGTTTTTTATATGGGGGATACAAAGAATATTAAATAGGGGTACAACTCAGGCAGGTTCAACCCGAGCAACCCGTGCCTAGCTCGAGTTTTTTTAGCGCTTGGGCAAGAATATCTTGTAATCTGGACGGGCCTAGGCAAATTTTTGATGCCTGAATTGTAATTCGGACCGGGCCTGGACAGAATCAGTGACTAATCCGAGCAACCCGAACCTGAATTGCATTTAATATATTATATAAATTATATAATATATGTATAAATTAAATTAAATAGCTGTCCTTAATATTAAAGTGATCCCCAACTTTAGTCCCCATTCCACAAGGACCTAGTGATCCTGCACAGGGTCATAGATTGCTCGAGCATCCCATGATTGAGGCACCAAGCTGAGGGGGTTCATAGGCCCTACTCTTGACCTAGATTGGCATGGCAACATGGCGCCCTTCTAATCATAGTTTGCAATGGTTAGGCGAGGCAATGAGGTAGGCTAGCGAGTGGAGTTGAGTGATTTGAGTGGAGTTAGGTGTGCGAAACTAGTTTAGCAGAGCACTAAGCCAAGATTAAAATCATGCCTTATCATGTAAAGTGGCTGTTTGTTGCCTTGTGAATTTCGGGCAATTCGGGCTAACCTGAGTTCAAATTATAAAGCTTGGTCCAGGCTTGGGCAGCCAAGCTCGGGTTAATGGTCGGGCTTGGGCACTGCCAAACAAGGCTTGGGCAAACCCCCAACCTGACCGAACTAACCTAAGTTGCACCCCTAATATTAAATGAATAAAATTGGAATATGGATAGAATATAATAAAGTAAAATACTCCCTATAAAATGAGATACGGAAGGGAATCACTATGAAAAAAATTTGGGAGCTGCAAAGAAATCTTCGAGTTCATATTGATGGTAGATTTAGAACAAGAATTGAATTCTATAAGATATAATCTCCCATTATTCCTTAGCAGCTAAATGGCAGAGCAGTCAACAGTTAACTAATTGTTCGTATATTCATAATATCGATTTAGTCTAAAGTTCGTGTTAACTTGAAGTCTTGCTGGAAAATAGATTTATGTGTTGCATAGTAGCTGAGTCTTGTCCATTGCATTCTGTGGAGTTGTCTTGTAAAACTAACATCTGATGACTCAAAACTGCTTTTAGTGCATTGAAGATTTGAGCATGGATCCTCATATAACAAGTAATAAGATACAATAAAAAACATGCCTTAATCTGGAGTTCTCTATTGCTTTAAATCTTGTGAAAATTGAATGTTTACACTAATTTACTTGTAAATCCATTACAGAGGTGACTGGTTGGATAGTTACCGGGGAAAGGCAGGCAGAGCGCATAAGGCGATTGTACTTGAAAACAATATTAAGACAGGACATTGCATTCTTCGACACTGAAACTACCACTGGAGAGGTCATTGGTAGAATGTCTGGCGATACAATTCTCATCCAAGATGCTATGGGTGAAAAGGTTACTTAAGACTCCATTCTTCAAAACTTGCTGCTAAGTACAATCAATTAATGCACCTAAGTCAGTTTCTATAATAATTTCATTACTTGCAATGCTATGACAGGTAGGAAAGTTCATACAACTGATGTCAACATTTATCGGAGGATTTGCCATTGCCTTTGCTAGAGGATGGCTTCTCTCATTAGTCTTGCTTACGTGCATTCCCGCTCTAGTCATTGCCGGTGGAGGCATGGCCATAATCATGACAAGAATGTCTAGCCGTGGAGTAATCATTTTCAGTAGTTATGGACTTGCCATATGGTATGGATCAAAACTGATCATCGACAAAGGATACAATGGCGGAGTAGTCATTAATGTCATCATGGCCATCATGACTGGTGGAATGTAAGCATAAAAATTTCTAGCCACAGAAAAACAATGTGCTAATACATACCCTCTTAATTCTGCAATTGTGTCCCTAATTCTGTTTTGACTGATTGATCTGAGTTGGGTTTCGCTTCATATAGGTCATTGGGCCAGACATCCCCGTGTTTGAATTCATTTGCTGCAGGGCAAGCAGCAGCATACAAGATGTTTGAGACAATCAAGCGAAAACCACAGATTGATGCGTATGACACAAGTGGGATTGTAATGGAAGATATAAAGGGCGAAATTGAACTGAAAGACGTGCACTTCAGATACCCAGCCGGGCCCGACGTTCAGATATTCTCTGGATTCTCTTTACAGGTTCCAAGTGGCACAACCACAGCCTTAGTTGGGCAAAGTGGAAGCGGGAAATCAACAGTTATCAGCCTATTGCAGAGATTCTATGACCCTGAAGCCGGTGAAGTGCTCATAGATGGTATCAATTTGAAGAAGTTTCAACTCAAATGGATAAGAGAGAAAATGGGTCTTGTTAGTCAAGAGCCTATTTTGTTTGGCACTACAATAGGAGAGAATATAGCATATGGAAAGGAAAATGCTACCAATGAAGAGATTAGAACAGCAATAGAGCTTGCTAACGCAGCCAAGTTCATCGACAAGCTTCCAAAGGCAAATCTTCGCCCTCCCCTCTCCCTTTTTTGTAGTAATTCTTTCACTTGTAATGACTGATCTAATTAGCACTAGTAAAAATTTGTTTATAGGGGCTTGACACTATGGTAGGAGAGCATGGAACCCAACTATCTGGTGGACAAAAGCAAAGAATAGCAATTGCAAGAGCAATTCTAAAGAACCCGAAAATTCTTCTCCTTGATGAAGCAACAAGCGCTCTAGACGCCGAGTCAGAACGTGTTGTACAAGATGCGCTGACAAACATTATGTCAAACAGGACTACTGTGGTAGTTGCACACCGTCTGACAACAATCAGAAATGCTGACCTTATAGCAGTGGTGCAGGAGGGGAAAATCGTGGAACGAGGTATAAACCATATCATCACTCCTTCAACTTGAAAGTTCAGTTTTTTATAAATTTATTAAGTCAAAACCAACTTCAAAATTCAATGCCAATTGCCAGGAACTCATGGTGAGTTGATCAAGGATCCAGAAGGGGCTTACTCACAGCTCATTCGCTTACAAGAAGGGACTAACAAAGTTGAAGATCCGCGAAGGAGTGACATAGATAATCTCGATACAATTCAGGATGTAGACATAACAATGGGCAGGTCTGCAAGCCAGATATTATCCATGAGAAGATCAATAAGCAGAGGTTCATCAGGTAGCCAACGCTCTTTCAGAATTAGCTTTGGACTACACGGCCCTATTGGAATCCAAACAGATATAGAAGGAGAGGAGAGTAGTAAAAGAAGTGAGACAGATGATAAGAAACGCCGCCAAGTGTCCATTAAACGCCTAATGTACCTAAACAAACCAGAGTTGCCGGTTTTGCTGCTTGGATCCATTGCTGCAGGCATTAATGGTGTGACCTTCCCTATATTTGGATTCCTACTTTCAACAGCTATTAACATTTTCTATGAACCACACGATGAGCTAAGAAAGGACTCAAGGTTTTGGGCACTTATGTTTGTGGGACTCGGTGTTGTTATTCTGTTTGTCGCACCAGTGCAGAATTACTTCTTTGGAATTGCAGGTGGTAAGTTGATAATGCGAATTCGCGCCTTGACGTTTGAGAAGACTGTCCATCAAGAAATCAGTTGGTTTGATAACCCTAAAAATTCAAGGTGTGTTTTAGTAATTTGTACTTTTGATTGATCAAATGCTCTCTATTTCAAAAGGCCTTTTGAACTGAAAGTTTTGAGTTCATTTCAGTGGTGCAGTTGGAGCAAGGTTGTCTACTGATGCTTCAACAGTGAGGAGTCTTGTGGGTGATTCATTGGCGCAAATTGTACAGAACATAACAACAATTATAGCAGGGCTTGTCATATCATTCACAGCTAATTGGATGTTGGCACTCATAATTCTATCTGTGTTGCCCTTGGTGGGATTGCAAGGATTCTTTCAAATTAAATTCTTAAAAGGGTTCATCGAAGATGCCAAGGTCAGTCCATTATCCTAAGTTATGGCCAGAGCCATTTTAGCACAGTTAGGACTGTAAAACAAACCAAACTACTCAAACTCAACATTTGAAATTGGTTTGTTATGTAACAAGCTAAGTTTGAGCACATTTATCTCAAATTCTATTTGAGAAGGTTATATACATTATATGAAAATCAAGCTATTTGAGCTCAACTCGAGTAAGGCTCGTTTGAGATTGGCTCGAAAGGTAAATAAGCTAAACTTGGACACAATTTGAAACTTGTTAAGTTTTCAAGTCAACCTTAAAGAACTGACTACTTGACTTGACTCATTTTTAGCCCTAAGCATAAGTGTACAGCAGACATTTAAATGAGAAGGGGTGGATTTTGAGGGGATTAATCTTTATCGCATACTAATCAAGTTAGATTTTTGTAAATGTCTGTAGGTGATGTATGAAGATGCGAGCCAAGTTGCAAACGATGCCGTGGGCAGCATTAGAACAGTTGCATCATTTTGTGCTGAAAAGAAAGTCATAGAAATGTATAAAAACAAATGTGAGGCCCCCATGAAACATGGAGTTAGGATTGGACTTGTGAGTGGTATTGGCTTTGGATCTAGTCTTTTTGCACTCTACTGCACATATGCCTTCTGTTTCTACATTGGAGCTGTTCTAGTGCAACATGGGAAAGCTACTTTTGGGGAAGTTTTCAAGGTATAAATAAATTCGTAGTGTTTTTTTTTTTTGTTTTTTTTTGTTTTTTATTTAAACCTTCACTTTCTAATTACGCATTTTTTCCACTTCCAAACAAATGGTTTTGCAGGTTTTCTTTGCTTTGACAATTTCAGCAACGGGTATTTCCCAAACCACTGCTTTAGCCACAGACACCAACAAAGCCAAGGACTCTGCTGCTTCTATCTTTGAAATTATTGACAGCAAGCCCAAGATTGATTCAAGCAGCAATGAAGGCACAACCCTAGCAACCATAAATGGAGATATTGAGTTCAAACATGTCAGCTTCAAATACCCAACACGACCCGATGTTCAAATTTTCAGAGATTTATGCTTAACCATTCCTTCTGGAAAGGTAATAACCACGCACAAGCACAGCCTCGTTCTTCTTCAATAATTTTTGCTCAATTTTGCTAAGCCAAAAATTTTATCACTGACTGTTGCTCTTGTTGGGGAAAGTGGTAGCGGAAAGTCCACCGTAATAAGCCTAATTGAGAGGTTCTATGATCCCGAGTCCGGCCATATATTTCTAGATGGAGTGGAGATCCAAAAGCTCAAACTGAGCTGGTTAAGGCAACAAATGGGGTTGGTAAGTCAAGAACCAGTACTTTTCAATGAAACGATCCGGACTAACATAGCTTATGGGAAGAAAGGAGAGGCTGCAGAAGAAGAGATCATTGCAGCCACGAAAGCAGCGAATGCACACAACTTCATATCGGCATTGCCACATGGCTATGACACCAATGTTGGGGAGAGAGGGGTTCAATTATCGGGCGGTCAGAAGCAACGGATAGCCATTGCAAGGGCAATAGTGAAAGACCCTAAGATCCTCTTACTTGACGAAGCAACGAGTGCGTTAGATGCAGAGTCAGAGCGTGTGGTGCAAGATGCATTGGACAGAGTGATGGTGAATAGAACTACCATTGTTGTCGCTCACCGGCTCACCACCATTAGAGGTGCTGATGTAATAGCCGTTGTGAAGAATGGGGTGATTGCAGAGAAAGGAACACATGATGTGCTCATGAAGATCACTGATGGTGCATATGCATCTCTAGTGGCACTTCACATGACATCCTCAAAGTAGACACAAACCATTGATTGGCTCAAGCTGCTTCTTTTTTCTTTTCTTTTTTCCTTTCTCTTTTTTAATCTCTGCTTTCAATCTTCCATTGTTTCTGTTTTCTGTGATAGTGTTTCGACGATGAATCATCCCTCAAGTTTCCCAACATGGAGACACACAAAAATACACGTAGACTCAATGACTTTCCATTGAGTCAATTTATTGTTGAGTAATTTTTTTGTTTTCAATCTATTGTTGTCAATTTGACTGTTTGTATTCTTTTACAGTATATGGAACCATGATGATCCAAGGCCTAATGTGAATTAGATTGTTAGAAGGCACAAACAAGACTCAAAAAACAACATTGAGGGTGCCTTTGTCAGGAGATCATGGTCTTGTAGAGATGCATCTCATACTGGATAGGTTTTGTTGCCAGTTGGATGAAGAGACTAAACCAGTGATGAAGAGACTAAACCTACCCAGTATGAGATCTCTCTCTCTCTCTCTCTCTCTCTCTCTCACACACACACACACAACAAACATGCTTCTTTTGTGAGTGCAAAAATTATTTAGTGTCATCTACTATATTGCCACAAATGTATATGAACCATTCATTTGTGTTAGATTTACATATGAGAGAAGAAGAAGAATGAGAGAGAGAGAGAGAGAGAGAGAGAGAAACTGATGTTGTATTAACAATGGAATCAATTAGGGTTCTCCTCTCTTACACATGTATTTACAATATAAGACTAGAGAATAAAATGTTGTCACTACTCTTAGACACTAACACTTAACACTCCCCCTCAAGTTGGTACAAATATATCTCTCATGCCCAACTTGCAACAAATTGGATAAAAAATCTTACTACTAAGACATTTGGTAAACACATCAGCCAATTGATCTTCCGATTTCACAAAAGCCATACATATCAAACCTTTATTCAATTTCTCCTTAATAAAGTATCAGGCATTTTCAATATGCTTGGTCCTGTCATGTTAAATAGGATTGTAAGCAATACTGATGGTAGCTTCATTGTTACAGTACGAAATCATAAGATCACACCACAAACAATTCTTGTCTCACCCAACAAGGACTGAAGCCACATGAGTCCACAAGTACCATGTGTCATAGTTCGGTATTCTGCCACTACACCAGACCGATGTACTGTCTGTTTCTTACTATGCCAAGTGACTAAATTACCCCTTACAAAAGTGCAATAACCAGATGTAGACTATAATACCCCAAAATAATAACAATAACACATCTCACAATATTCTTTACAATTGATCAATAATATCATACTTTATATTCCATTCATAATCATCGATCATACAAAAAATGACATATGCGTGTATACATTCATAATTCTAGATCCTGAATCTATAGCATATGACATGTGTACAAAGATTGAAATAAAAGAAAACCAGAATAATTATATGCCATAATGGCTACATCTTTCTAAGTTGATACTTTGGTACATTAAAATGAGTTTAACTCAATACAATTAAAACCCAAGGCTTGAACAAAAATAATTACATCAAATAAACAAAAGAAAGCTAGTCCTTCCAAGTCAAGGACATATCATCAAACCAAACCAAGCCTTAAGTCCCATCAACTAGGGTCAGCTATATGAATCCTTCTTCCCCACGCCACTCTATTCAAGGCCATTAGTAGGCATATCATCAGCACCTGAAAATTGTATTTCACATAGAGTGAGCTAAAGCCCAATAAAGATACTTTAACACAATATATGAATTTCAACGAAGTCAAGGTGGATGCATAGGCATGCCAATTGTCAAACATTTTACATTTTTTCATCTCAAAACAATGCAATGCCAGATTATAAATCAATTCATGAAAATATCTTTTTATATTAGAAAATATGGTAGTTGATACAAAGCATAGAGAATCTCTAGGTACGTGTCTGCCAGTAGGCTATACAAGCACTACCAAAGCCATTTAACCAGCACTAACCGGACATGTTTCTAAACTTACGCCAAGGACACACAAGCCAACATAATAACCACAACTACACCTCCTAACCAGATTTACCAAAGTATTAACCCATTTTTCTAAAAAAAAAAAATACATTTTCAATGTTTAAGTAGAAAACAATGTTCAATGCAAGATGTATGAGTAATTAGTTTCAATTCACCTAATCCTCATACAATTTCTACAACAATCAAAGCCATCATCCACTGATAGCCCAAAATAGATATTTCTATTCAACAAATAATATCATTTTCAAAATGGGAGTGACATTATATATCCAACTCTACCATCCTTTTCGACATACATATTCGTTTCATTCCTTTAAACCCAACATGATTTTCCATTTTTTTTTCACAAACCAAATATCCATAATTTTACAACAAAATCCCTTTTACTTTCAAAATCAATTTAAGGAAATCCACCATTTTAACATATCTCAACCATAAGCACATCCCCAATCTCTTTCTCAAGAACCTATTTGAAAACCCCTATTTTACATTTCAAAAATCCAACCCTAGGTTTAACCCAAAAATCTTCAAATCACTAGATTCTTTCAATAAGCAAATAACTAAGGTAAAAGCCATACCAAAGGTTGAAGAAATCCTTACCTTACGATTAGAAGACAAGAGAGGGCAAGGGTTGAAGTTTAGCGGAGCCGAAAACGAGATTCTCACTGATTAGGACGAAGATTTAGATGAACTCTACATTTTTCTCCAAAGAGTTATGGTGGAGAAATCAATAGGTAAGGGTGTATTTGAGGTTTTAAGCAAGAACTAGAGAGAGAAAGTGAAGAACTAGGATTTTGAAATGTTTTAGAGAGAGAGAGAGGAAATGAAAAGTGATTCAGAAAGCCCTTTTTTCGAACTAATATACGCACAAACCGCTCGAGTGACCAAAACACCACTCGAGCATTAGACACAATAAGTGACACCGCTCAAGCGACCAAAAACATAGCTCGAGCACACAATGACACCCTTCCAGAAACTCAGACCTGTAAAAAACCACTCAAGCACAAGAAATACCGCTCGAGCGAAGATACTCTTTATTTCCAGAAGTTTTACAGACTGTAAAAGACCGCTCGAGTGCAAGAAAGACTGCTTAAGTGAATAAGAAGAAAACTAGACAGCAACTCTTTGAAAAAACTAACTCTCAACCTGTCACGCCCCAAGCTCTGTGACAACGCCGCACACTCATATAAGTGAGCATGCAAGGCTAAGAATCCAATCACATAACCCACAAAATAAAATACTCAAATTAAATTCTTAATTGTCATAATGCCAAAATCCATAAAAATAAATAGTTCTCATATGAAAATGTCCACCAAGTCCACTAATTTAATCCACTAACAAAACAATAATCCAAGTACTTAAATCATGGTCCTACTCTCGGCACTCCCACATGTAAAAAATCTCGCGCAGCTCTGCTCTTCAGAATCTGAAAAAAAATAAGGGTAAGCTAGATAGCCCAGTAAATAACTAACCATCACTGCTAGCTGGATCAAGTATACAAAAAAATAAATAAATATAAATTCGATACAATAAATATAATTTTTTTCTACAGTTCAATAAATGAACATTATTGCGCTAAGGTGGTTTCATGCTAAAAAATAAACAATAATGTACAATACATTTTAATTGAAAATCAACAAGATAATTCAATGATAAATTCGTTGTTCAAAAATCGATGGTTCCGATATTCAGATGGTTCAATTGATTTGATTTAACAAAACCAAGTCTTATTTTTGAAACTATCGGTCACACTAGCCCGTGACAAGGCCCAGAACCACACATAGGCCGGTGGGTAAAGCCCAAAAAGAAACTAGTTCTGTGCCAATAAATAACCCCTATTGGCTAGGGTCCAAAATCATAGTCAGACAGAGTGATGTTCAAAATTCACACAACACAATTTTGAATAAACAATTTCGATATTTCCAGAAATAAACGTTTAGTATAATTTTCAGAATAGTTTCACCGAATATTCAAATAATTTTCATAATATATTCGATGTTGTTTTATACTTGACCCAATTTTATTTTAAGAGAAACAGGAAAAGCTACGAATAATATTTATGATTTTAAACGATTTGATAGGATAAAAATAAACCAAACAGTGATAGAGGGTTTACTTACTCAAACCAGCTAAATATAATATTTCCAAGCTATCTCAAAATTACCAAGATCCATCCTCAATCTCCAAACCTAATAAAATATTACACCGCATAAACAATTATTATGTGCACCCATCCATCTCTTCTTGTAACAACAATAGAATAAATTAACCCAATAGTCTATTAGGAACTCCCACAATTTAGCATCAAAACAAAGCCATCACGGTTTCGGAAATTCTCAACCCATATTATTCTATTGTTGTTTATATACACGTAACAATTTGTAATTGCTTGTAGTCAATCGTGTATCCCACAAATACACCACCATTAAACTTAACCCATCACATATCAATCTCAAAATATGAACCACCCAAATGGGATGCAAAATACACTCTAAAATTGAGCAAAATTGAGACCCCCAACATAGACTACATCAATATATCTATTTAATCATATATGCCCATAAAATCATCTATTGATATATTAACACTAAAATCATAGATAGGAATACAATAAAATAAATCTTACCTAAGTGATGAATAAAGCAAAACCACCACTCTTATGAATCCTCCCTCTTCCTTGGTTTGGGTTTCTTTTCTTTAATTTTAAACTTTTCCAAACCCTTGCTGCAGCACAAGCCTCTCTTCTCTTTTTCTTCTCTTTTTTCTTTTACCTTCTCAAACCCTAGCCGCCTATGGGGCAATTCATAGCCTCTGTTTTGTTTGTTTTCCAAGACTTAAAGCCACAATAGGTGGGCTAATTAACCTAATTTCTCAAAGTTACAAAATTACCCATCTAAGTAATAGGAAATATAATGCCATCTCATAACTAATTCTTTGATATTAATAAATGACTCATATAAGTTAATTTAATTACTAATCTATCCAATAAAATAATCCTACACACAACTTGGGTTTTACACAACCTGTTCCAAACGCAACAATAACTCCTAAACAACCATACTCAACTAACAACAAGATGAAAATGGAATGAATAATAGTTAAGGACATGGATTCCCAAATTCAAAAGCAAGAAATGAGTTTGGTCTAAACCAAAATCGTTATATAGACCTGTTATCTACAGAACCTGCCCAATCAGCATCAGTAAATGCCTCCAACTTCAAGTGCCCATGATTAGAAAATAGAAGTCCTTTTCCCAGGACAGATTTAAGATATCTCAAGATGCGCTACAAAGCCTCCAAATGTGTTGCACGAGAATTATGCATAAACTGACTTACAACGCTAGCTGCATAAGCAATATCCGACTGAGTGTGGGATACATATATGAGTCGTCCCACAAGTCTTTGGTACCTTTTCTTCTCCACCGAGTTACCAACAACATTGCAAAGATGATGGTTAACCTCAATAGGTGAATCAGCTGGTTTACAGCCTAACATGCCTGTTTCTGCAAGAAGATCCAGAATGTACTTCCTTTGAGAAATAAAGATGCCTTTATCAGATCTGGAAATTTAAATCCCAAGAAAGTACCTCAATGGGCCAAGATCTTTGATCTCAAACTCCTTGGCCAACTGTATCTTCAGATGTGTCACATCCTCCTCATCATTGCCTGTCACAACTATATTATCCATATATACAATAAGGACAGTTACCTTATGTGCATTGTGTTTGACAAACATGGTATAATCTGCATTGCTTTGCTTATACCCAAACCTCAACATTGCTTTTAGAAATCTATCAAACCAAGCCTAAGGAGATTGTTTCAAACCATATAAAGCTCTCTTCAACTTGTAGACTTTCCCAACTGTAGACTGAAAGGAGAATCCTGGTGGCACATCCATATAAACCTCCTCTAAATCCCCATGAAGAAATGCATTCTTCACATCTAGTTGTTGTAAAGGCTACCTCAGGTTAGCTGCACATGAAAGAATGGCTCGAATGGAATTCATCTTTGCTACAAAAGTGAAGGTTTCTTGATAATCAATTCCATGTCTGGGTAAATCCCTTGGCCACTAATCTTGCTTTGTACCATTCAATTGTCTCATCGGCCTTCTGCTTAATGGTGAACACCCACTAACACCCCACTGGCTTTTTTCCACTTGGAAGAGAAACCAACTCCCAGGTATTATTCTTGCTTAGGGCTTGCATCTCTTCTACCATAGCTCATTCCACTTAGGATCATTAACAACTTCTTTCCAACCCTGTGGGATATACACAGAAGACAGAAACGAAACAAAAGCACAATATATAGGAGACAATGAATCATAGGATACAAATTTAGAAATAGGGTGTTTACAAGCCCAAACCCCCTTTCTAATAGCAATAGGAAGACTCAAATCATCAACAACCAGATTGTTAACTACTTGTGAAGAAATAGAATGAGGTGTATTACCTATAAAATCAGTGGAAACAAGATCTAGAATCGGCACAAGAGATGATGATTGACTTGGTGGCACAAAGGATGGCTACTCTTTCTGACGCCGTGAACAAGTCTTAAGATCTACCCTATCCAAACGACCCCTAATGTTAGGCTCATCACCAAAACCACTCTCAGGCTCCCCCTCATCACAAATAACAATACGTTGACTAGGAATAAAAAAAGATAACTCATGCTAATATGACATCATCTCATCCGCAATCTCATCAATAACACTTTCCCCCTAAGGAGATGGTGGAGAGGAAGTAAAAAAGAGTTCAGATTTACGGAAGGTAACATCCATACTAACATACAATTTGCGAGTGTAAGGATCATAGCATTTGTAACCCTTCTGAGTAGCAAAATAGCCAAGAAAGGCACAATGCACAGCTCTAGAATCAAACTTCTCATGAGTTTGAGGTTGCAAATGAACAAAACAAACACACCCAAAAACTCAAGAAGGAAGAGAAGACGTGGGATAAGTCACTGATGGATCGTTTTACACACAAAAAATAAACACTAAACTGTACCAAATTCCTTAGAATAATGGTAAGTTCAGGTATCGATCTACATGGACAAATGTGAAATTAAACTAATTTAATTGTTAAATTCCTAAATTAATTTTGATCAACAAAATGATGGTTCATAGACTAATAATAATTAAAAGAAAATAAGAGATTACACTAGCAATTAAAATTGAAGTTGAAGATAGTGATTTTGGGAAAAACCTAGGGTTACAAATTTCACCATTAGTTACATAAATTAGGTCTCAAATTGGAAATCAAATGTGTTATGGTTTGAACCAAATAATACTTCACAACTACAAGTTCGAAGCATTGACCAAGAGAATTATCATGTTCAATATATAGACACGAACCATCTCAAGTAGCATGATTCGTTCACTTTAAGTTAGGGTACCAACACGACTTATCCCTCATAGTATGGCTCGTCTCATACCTTGAATATCAAAGAATAGAAAACCATTGCATGGAAAGCATTCAACAATCACAGAAAGTAGAATACTTGAAGAAAATAATGAAAAATATATTTAAAAACTTCTTGAACACCATACAACTTGTTCAAACCATTAAAACAATGAAAACCAAAGAGAAACCCCTATTTACTTGGCTAGGGTTTCATCAAAACCCTAAAAATAGAAGAACTAGCCACTCATGGAGGAGTGAGAAGAGGTAGAGGAAGAGGAAACCACCAAGGAAGAGGTTCTTGAAGCTTGAAACCCCTTCTCCTCAAACCCTAGCCCCTCCTATGTTTTTGGAAAATTTTAGAACCCTCTTCCAACCTATTTTGCCTTCTTTTATTCTTAGCGAAACAAAATTAAAATTACGCACACGTGTCCCTAGGTTGACTGCTCGAGCGCCCACATTCTCCACTCGAGCGGTGAAGCCTAGCCGCACAAGCGGTGAGATGGCAGGCCATGAAATTTCATTACTTAAGTAGAGAATCTGCTTTTGTGCCACTTTTCGCTTGAATTTGTGTGTTACTTGCCAAATCTGCACAAATACACAAAACACATCATATTCACCAAATAATCATAATTCAAAGAATATAAATGTAACTTAAGTGGCCTCAATGTGATACCTTTCGGCCTACATCAGTCACAGGAAGAAGTGCAAGAGGAATTTGAAATTGGAGAACACTGGAAGGCATACAGTTAATGAGATAAGCAATAGTAAGAACAGCATCACCCCAAAAAGACTTGGGGACATTCATGGTTAACAAGAGAGAACGAGCAACTTCAAAAAGATGGCCATTCTTACGCTCGACAACTCCATTCTGCTGAGGAGTACCAACACAACTGGTTTGGTAAAGAATGTCATGCTACTCAAGGTATGCTTGGAAATCACCATCAACATATGTAGTCCCATTATCAATGTACAGAATTTTAATGGTAGCATTAAAGAGATTGCTTACCATTTCAGGGAAAAAGCAAAAACAAGAAGAAAAAAATAAAAAATAAAAAATAAAAAAAATCCTCACTTTTAGTTCGAATTAATAAACCTAAGTCATACAAAAATAACAATCAATAAAAGTGACAAAGCAACAATATCCAAAAGTAAACACCACAAGGGAAAGGGAAGGTCCCCACACATTAGTATGAAAAAGCAAAAAAGGAAAAGTATTTCTTTTATTAAATTAAGGATAACAAGTACGTTTATGTTTAGTGAGTTCACACGCATCACAAACAAAATTATTCCTAGAACAATCTCGAACTAATTAAGGAAAAAGCCTTTCTAAAATACTAAAGGACGAATGACCCAAACGACGATACCAATGATGAAGGAAATGGAGAGAAGAGCCAGTAGTGCACTGAAGAGCTTGAGTGGAGGATAACGGTAATGTGTGAGGAACAACATCCGGAAAGTACAGTCCACCATGTGATCTACCACTTCCAATCGTTTTCCTCATAGCCAGTTCTTGAAAGACACAATAAGTAGGAAAAAATGCCACAGAGCAATTTAAAGAGGTAGTAAGGTTACTCACAGAAAGTAAATTGGTAGAAAAATTAGGAATATGAAGCACAGAAGAAAGAAAGTAAAGATGAGCAATGAATAGAACCCTTGCCAAAGACAGAAGATAAAGTGCCATCAGCCACTCTAACCTTATCCTGCCCAAAACAAGGAGAATAAGAATAGAAAAGACTAGAGGCATCTAATGAGGAGATACTAAGGACATTAGTAGGAAAACCCGTGTGGGCAAAATTGAAAGAAGCAGAAGAGGAAGGAACTGTGGTAGATGGAGAATCAAGCCGAACCATCAAGCACCGACGAGTGTGTAACGCATCCTGGGAGAGAGAACTGGGCTCACCAGAGGTACTGGTAGCAATCTCAGACACGCGCTTGTGGACGAGCTGTACTACCACAACCACGACCCTAAGTAGGGCGACCATTCAATTTCCAACAATGCTCACGATCATGTCAATCTTTCCCACAATAATCACACTTTAAATGATCCTGATCAACCAAGAGGCCCATACTAACAAACGAAACTAGACTAGGGTTAGGATCACAGGTGGATGGAGCAACAGCCAAAACATAACGATCCTGAACAAAGGAATGAACTATATCACTACGTCGACTTTCCTCTTGCTAAACAAGAGCATAGGCCTCATGTAAGGTGGGAAAAGGAGAACGACCCAACACTTGAATGCAAATCTGATCATACTCTAAGTTAAGGCCAGCAAGGAAGTCATGCACACGCTCTTTCTCCATAGTCTGCTGAAATAAAGTGGCATCCTTGGAACACACAGCCTGGAAACTCTGATAATAATCCAGTTCCTACAACAAGCTACTTAACTCAGCATAGTACACCGCAAGGGACCTATCCTTCTGATCCAAACCCCAAAGCTTCTTTCTCAACTCATACGTCTGTGCATCATTACCCTGTTGAGAATACATGTGTGAGGCAGCGATCCATATCTTATGAGCAATACGTTGGAGAAGAAAAGACTGACTGATGGTAGGCTGCATAGAGTTAATGAGTAACCAAAGCATTCTTAAAAACCAATTAAGTACGCGAAGAGGCATCATTGGCAGGTTGGGGAAGATCACCGGTAATGTTGCCAGTCAAACACCAAGCAGCAATAGCAAGGCTATAAGAACGAGATCAAATTAGGTAGTTGGAGCCATCAAATTTCACAGGACTGATTTGAAGAGAGAGACTATCATTAAGGGTCAAAACACGATGCATTACACCCTCATCACTAACCTTAGGGTCTTTATCCTCAACTCTAGCTATTGAAAATCAATCCACGCAGCAAATAATAGTCCAAGATTCCAAAAACAAAGCCAAAAAACTAACTGAGACAAAGAAAGGTACCTTTATAAGCAGTACTAGAGCCAAAATGCAGCAATGGAGGCCAAAAAACGAACAAAAACCAAGAGAAACCTCACCAATCCTTCAAAACAAGAACTCGAGCCCCCTCAGATGTCCCAATCGGCTCCCAAAGGAAGGGAAAAAGAAAAAAAAAATAGCCCTAAAAGGGCTCCAACAACATCTTCCGAAAAATAGCCAATTTTCCCAAAAAATCAACAAGAATTGGAAAAACTACCAAATAATTAACAAAAGATTCAAATAAAATTATGGGGAGAAAGCCCATTAAATTTCGAACACGGAAGAATTTTTTTTTTTAACAGAAAAAACGAGAAAAGAAGAGTAGGAGGAGAACACAATCTTCAAGGAAGAAGATGTAGCTCTGATACCATGTTAGATTTACATATGAGAGAAGAAGAAGAATAAGAGAGAGAAAAACTAATGTTGCATTAACAATGGAATCAATTAGGGTTC